CACGGTGCCTCCTTCAGGGCCGATGATGTGCACCTCCTGCCTGACTCTGGACACTACAGCGAGGTAGTGAGGGAAGTCACAGGTGACGATGCGAGTGACAGTCTAAAGATGATGATGATGTAAAGAGCTAAAATGATGATCACCTGTGGTATATGGGCACTGGAGATGGTGCCTCCTTCAGGGCCGATGATGTGCACCTCCTGCCGGACTTTCAACACCATCGTGAGGTGATGATGAAGTCACAGGTGACGATGAGAGTGACCACCTAAAGATGATGATGTGGACAGCTGATAATGATCACCTGTGGTATATGGGCACTGGAGACGGTGCCTCCTTCAGGGCCGATGATGTGCACCTCCTGCCTGACTCTGGACACTACAGCGAGGTAGTGAGGGAAGTCGCAGGTGACGATGCGAGTGCCCTTCCCTTTTCTCGCTGCTATTGTTGTATGAATGTGATCACCTGTGGTATATGGGCACTGGAAACGGTGCCTCCTTCAGGGCCGATGATATGGACCTCTTGCCTGACTCTCGACACTATAGCGAGGTAGTGAGGCCATGAGGGAAGTCGCAGGTGACGATGCGAGTGACCACCTAAAGATGATGATGATGTGGACAGCTGATGATGATCACCTGTGGTATATGGGCACTGGAGACGGTGCTTCCTTCAGGGCCGATGATGTGCACCTCCTGCCTGACTTTCGACACTATAACGAGGTAGTGAGGGAAGTCGCAGGTGACGATGCGAGTGACAGCCTAAAGATGAGCTACAATGATGATCACCTGTGGTATATGGGCACTGGAGACGGTGCCTCCTTCAGGGCCGATGATGTGCACCTCCTGCCGGACTCTGGACACTACAGCGAGGTAGTGAGGGAAGTCGCAGGTGACGATGCGAGTGCCCTTTCTCTTTCTCGCCGCTACTGCTATATGAATGGGCTCACCTGTGGTATATGGGCACTGGAGACGGTGCCTCCTTCAGGGCCGATGATGTGCACCTCCTGCCGGACTCTGGACACTACAGCGAGGTAGTGAGGGAAGTCGCAGGTGACGATGCCAGTGACAGCCTAAAGATGAGCTACAATGATGATTACCTGTGGTATATGGGCACTGGAGACGGTGCCTCCTTCAAGGCCGATGATGTGCACCTCCTGCCGGACTCTGGACACTACAGCGAGGTAGTGAGGGAAGTCGCAGGTGATGATGCGAGTGACAGTCTAAAGATGATGATATAGACAGCTGATGATAATCACCTGTGGTATATGAGCACTGGAGACGGTGCCTTTTTCAGGGCCGATGATATGGACCTCTTGCCTGATTCTCAACACTACAGCCGGGTAATGATCAGTCACATGTGACGATGCGAGTGACCACCTAAAGATGATGATGTGGACAGCTGATGATGATCACCTGTGGTATATGGGCACTGGAGACGGTGCCTCCTTCAGGGCCGATGATGTGCACCTCCTGCCGGACTCTGGACACTACAGCGAGGTAGTGAGGGAAGTCGCAGGTGACGATGCGAGTGACCCGCTCTCCGTTCTCGCCGAGGGTTTCGCCGCTGGTGCCGTGCTCTTGTCTTTCGCGTTGGAGGGCTTCCTGTTGAACGAATAGAAATAAATACCACAAAGCAAAGTCCTTCAAAAGTCATAAGGCCAGTGTATAATGTGTTCCGATTCCATGCACAGGCATAGCGTATAGATCGTGTCATCCACGAACGAAGACGCGCCCCACCATTCTTCTGCTAATGTTTGTGTGTTATCGGTACACCCTAAATTATCCATGAGTGCACACGCACACTACAATAGTGACGCTCGGATTGCTCGGAACATGCTCCCCGCACCCCGTGCTTCCCTCGACCAAAAATTGGTGGGGCGCTTCTTCGTGGATGAAACGATCTAAACAGCTGAGTAAGTTCCTGCGATAGTAGAGAGATGGGGCAGGATTATGTTTTTGGTGTATCAAATGCTGCAAGAATTCAGTCAAACGTATGCAGTTTTGTTACGTCATATTAAATCACTTCCATTGCCGCATCCATTCAGTTATGCGCTAGGCCTGTACTTAAGTTTTTTTAAGAAACTATTGTAACTAGAAATTAATTTTGAAATTCTACGTCTAATGACAAATCTATAGCCTACCTGGTAGAATTGGTTAAATAATTTTACTCATTTTTGGAAAAAAACTAATTCAAGCTTCGCTTCTATTCTTAGGGTATTTATTATATTATTATTTTATTTTATGCATAACAAGGCAGGTATTTGACCACAATCGCACCTGATGGGTGATGATGTTATGCCTTCCTAGTAAAGACATAGATAGCTGTGCCCCGTGGTTTACGTGCCACTTATCTAGGGCCACGCATGTCGACCCATTGGGATCTTTTGTGCTTCCCTTTACCTTTATTCCCCCTCATCCTAAATCGTACGTGCAACTTACCTGTATCATAGGGTTGTCGTTGTTGTGCAGGTAATGGTCTTGCCAGGTCTCGCCGGTGTCGGAGCGCAGGATCACGATCTCCCGCTCGCGACACGACGACGTGAATATCGGCACTTCGATTATTACTGGCCTGTAGGAAATTAAGGCTTTTAGAGAAAAAAATTGCGCGTTGCTGATAAAGATCTAACATTAAATAGATAGACAGATAAAGTCCGGTCGCCGAGCAGATAGAATTTCGTCCAATGACCCCAAGCTACCCAACCTTATCGCTCGCGCGTAATTATTATTGCTGTCGCACTATGCGACGGGCGGCCACAGTGAGTGTGCGAGCGCAACAGCAATATAATTACTCGCGAGCGATAAGGATGGGTAGCTTAGGGTCATTGTACGAAATTTTTCATTGTTTCGACTTTCAGTCGAGTCTGTTAAGGTACAAAATTCAATGAAAACCACGATAACTTGGTACTTACGCCAAGAACTTGGCTCCTTGGGGCTGTAGCTCCAGCAGCCTGGAAGCCAAGGCCTCCCCCTCCATTAGTGGAGGGGGCGCGGCCGCCGGCGCTCGTCTTGTGGCCGCTCTGGAATTATAAATCAAACAGTTAACTTAACGATAACCGGTATTTTCTGTATGTCATACAAAAAGCAGCCGTTATTGTTATTGTTACTGTTAAAATAAGGTGGTGCAACTCAGCCTTAATGTTTCTATACAGTTGTCATATATTCGGTTTTGATTTATAGCCGTATTTACTTCACCTGCTACTAATATTTATAACTCATATAAGTCATATAAAGGTCATATTTATAGGTTACGATTATAGTAACTTTTTGGCACAGAATCCATAATAGTAGAGGCATCATTTTTGATTGTCTAGATTGTTTTCAAAATTCGAAACTGTTAGCTAAAACATTTTGAAAATGTATGCTTGTATGGCCTTATTTACTTTCTATGTTGTCAATTCTCTTGTCGACCGTCTGATATTGGCATCTCACTTTGAGTGAGAAGAATGTAGAATATAATATTCGAAAACACGCATTATATCGTTGGCAAATAATGTAATTTGCCATATCATATCTAAATGCAACTCAATAATAACCGGGTAATGCATGTTTACGATACCGATTCGGCCATTTTGTTTTGTACAACATGTATATTTCATTTAATCTCAATCAACAGAGATTTGATTCATCAAGAAACTCCGACATGTGTATGGAAACCCAGTCATACATCGTCATATCATCAAAATAGACGTCAAAGGAAGTGCTATTCATAGTACATTGATTGAATGCCTCCAAGAGTTTCATTGTAGTCGCATCGTGTAAGCGCATTCGCTCACGGCTTATCAAATTGCTTTGGACTCAAAAACACGTTGCAATGTATGTATATTCAAGGACAATTTTACTTAATGAGAGTAAACAACTCAAAAACTTTCAATAATAATCGTATGAAATGAAAATTAGATGCTGATTACATTTTTTGTTAGGTTGATTCCCAACTCTATTTCTAATTGTCTGAAAAAACCTTTAATTTATCTTCTTTATTTTATTTGTTTAACAATGTTTCAACAGCTTTAATTGTACATAGATGTGCAGGAAGATACTACTTGAACATAAGCCAATTAAAGAAACACATTCTACTACTAAAACATTACGTCAGACTAATTTTCAAACTGTTTATGTCCATTTGTACAAACTTTACAGGAAATAAAAACTGTTTATTTTTCATTTTAAGGTACTAATTGAAACATAATGATGTACTAATTGATTCATTATTTACTTTAATGTACGCTAGCTTTCTTTTGCTTTTATTTGGTTAATGATATAAATTAAAACATTTTTAAAAACTTTGTCATGCATTCCGTAATAAAATGATCACGACTTACCAAACGTAAATGTGCGGAACTATGTATTTAAAATTAAAACAAAAACGAATTATACTTCGTCTACAAGCACCGTACTTCCTACAGCAAGTTAAAGATCGTTTCATCCACGAAGACGCGCCCCACCGATTTTTGGTCGAGGGAAGCGCAGGGTGCGGGGAGTTTGATCCGAGCAATCCGAGCGTCGTTATTGTAGTGTGCGTGTGCACTCAAGGATAATTTAATGTGTACCGATAACACTCTAACATTAGCAGAAGAATGGTGGGGCGCGTCTTCGTGGATGACACGATCTATACCACAGAAACTAAAGGGAGATGTGACAAGGGGGCGGAGCCGGTGTCACAGCAATATGCCCAAAAACAGAACTCATTGCTCGTGAAAGCAATGAATTTCTAATGTGACACTGAGTTTCGAACTCAGTGCTTTAGTTAGCATCGATATATCTCTTTCATCATCATCGATATATCATAGACCTCTATGATCTATACCAAATAAATGAACCATATTTACCGGCAGGTAACCCTTGTAGGGGCTGCGCAGGCGGCGGGCGGCACGATGATTCTCACGCCACCTCGTCGTTTCGCCTTCATGGCGCCACCGCGCGCGTCTACCACGAAAGACACCAGGAACCTGGAATAGGAATGGAATGTTAAGAAGATATCATTTGTGAACGAAGTCGCCATCAACAAAGAAGAAGAAGAAGGCTACTCACGGGAAATTGTGAAGAGAAGTTTCAGAAAAACATGGGATTTTCACGCACTGACATTATTTCTTGATTTGTGATTTCTTGACGCGGAAGATGCGTACGCGTGCGCTCTAAAATCTACCTACTGCTCATCATCAACAGGTCATTTAGCGTCCACTGTAGGTGCAAGACCCTCTCTAATGTAATTTGGGCCTCCACTCACACTGGACTGACTTTTTTCTTGCCTTTAATAGCAGTCTTACCCAGAAGATGCCTGTTTACGGTAGAAGCTTGAGGGCCTTGGGTTGCATGATTTTGGGAACACACAACCCGAGGGGAAACCGGGGCTTGACTGGTTGGGTTTTTATCAAGCTGTCAAGCTGTAGATTCTTACTACACAGGAGGTGGAATAGTGGGGAACCCAGGCTATCATATAGAGAGGGTACTCACCCGATGTCAAGTGGCTGGCGGTCAATGGTGGCCACCTTGCTGTCGTTGTTGCTGGGCCACAAGTGGCCATCCGTGACGCTGTCTTCGAGCGGGTGGCTCGGTGCAGCGCGGTGGCTGTCGCAGCGGTATAGTGACTCACCCGATGTCGAGTGGCTGGCGGTCGATGGTAGCCACCTTGCTGTCGTTGTTGCTGGGCCACAAGTGGCCATCCGTGACGCTGTCTTCGAGCGGGTGGCTCGGTGCAGCGTGGTGGCTGTCGCGCGGTATAGAGACTCACCCGATGTCGAGTGGCTGGCNCTGGGCCACAAGTGGCCATCCGTGACGCTGTCTTCGAGCGGGTGGCTCGGTGCAGCGTGGTGGCTGTCGCGCGGTATAGAGACTCACCCGATGTCGAGTGGCTGGCGGTCGATGGTGGCCACCTTGCTGTCGTTGTTGCTGGGCCACAGGTGGCCATCCGTGACGCTGTCCTCGAGCGGGTGGCTCGGTGCAGCGTGGTGGCTGTCGCGCGGTATAGAGACTCACCCGATGTCGAGTGGCTGGCGGTCGATGGTGGCCACCTTGCTGTCGTTGTTGCTGGGCCACAGGTGGCCATCTGTCACGCTGTCCTCGAGCGGCGTGGCTCGGTGCAGCGTGGTGGCTGTCGTAGCGGTATAGTGACTCACCCGATGTCGAGTGGCTGGCGGTAGATGGTGGCCACCTTGCTGTCGTTGTTGCTGGGCCACAGGTGGCCATCCGTGACGCTGTCCTCGAGCGGCGTGGCTCGGTGCAGCGCGGTGGCTGTCGTGCAGTATAGAGACTCACCCGATGTCGAGTGGCTGGCGGTCGATGGTGGCCACCTTGCTGTCGTTGTTGCTGGGCCACAGGTGGCCATCTGTCACGCTGTCCTCGAGCGGCTTCGCTCGGTGCAGTGTTCCCGCTTCGCTATTCATGTAGCGGTATTGCTGTTGCTGTTGAATGGGACACTCCACCTCTCCTGCGAAAGAAAGAAGTTTATACTTTCGTAAAGTTAAGTCTTTAATGGGCATAACATGTCCAATTTTTCATTGTTTTTAGATCGTAAGACAAGGTAATAGAGTCCAAAATATGGTAGGAACTATATTCAGAGACATACTGAAGACATTGACATCGATCATCTACATCGGTAGTTACTCCCCTTTTCACAAAAGGTGTTTGAAAAGTCATGGAGGTTTTATTATTCGGTCTAGAACCTTGCCTTTAGTTACCGAGTGAAGGCACTACTTTTTTTATCCACAACGAGGAAGTCCTTGACCTGCATCTCACCTGATGCAAAGTGACGATCAGGACGAAGATGGAAGTATTGTTCTACAGTGCTATTTGCTCGGAAGATCTATGTATGTATTTGTGAATCCTTACCTCCTTCGTCCTCCGAATCACTCATGAAGGTGTCCTGCATGAGTTCGGGCGCCGCCACGCGATATTTGCCTTCCAAACCACCTGAAACAATAAAAAATATTGTTAAATAAAATTGCCAGATAAAATGGAAGTAAGTAACTTATCTAGACATGGAATTATATCAATCAATCTTGGAAGAAGCTTAAGCTTAAGACTCCAAGACGTGTCACGCAAATTGGGCATTTTTTGACCGCTGGACATTTTCGGTTCTGGTCAAAACGACGCAAGAAAGTGACAGAAATAGACGCAGCCGAACATATCGACATCGGTTTGCGTTTCTAATTGTATTTGGTTGTATCCATTGCGCGTATACTTTTTATTTACGTAAACCGGATCACTGGATTAAATAATCTATTTATATGAGTACTAGCGGCCGCCCGCGACTTCGTGCGCGTGGATCTCGTTTTACCCCCCCTTCATCTATCTTACGCGGTTCAGATTTTTTCATACAAATGTTTTTTCCCGCTAACTCCCGTTCCCGTGAGAATTTTTTAATATCCTGTTGTAACTAAACTTTAAGTTTACTAAGGTACCTGCATGCCAAATTTCAAGAGTCTATCTTACGCGGTTTAGATTTTTTCATACAAATGTTTTTTCCCGCTAACTCCCGTTCCCGTTGGAATTTTGCAATATCCTGTTGTAACTAAGCTTTAAGTTTACTAAGGTACCTGCATGCCAAATTTCAAGAGTCTATCTTACGCGGTTTAGATTTTTTCATACAAATGTTTTTTCCCACTAACTCCCGTTCCCATCGGAATTTTGCAATATCCTGTTGTAACTAAGCTTTAAGTTTACTAAGGTACCTGCATGCCAAATTTCAAGCGTCTAACTTAAGCGGTTTAGATTTTTCGTACAAAAGGATTTTCCCGCTAATTCCCGTTCCCTTGGGAATTCCTAAGTATCCTATAACCTGCCCAGGAGTATGAAGAATAATTGTACCAAGTTTCGTTCAAAACCCGTCAAGTGGTTTTTGTTTCTATAAGGAACATACAGACAGACAGACAGACAGACAAAAATTTTACTGATTGCATTTTTGGCATCAGTATCGATCACTAATCACCCCCTGATAGTTATTTTGAAAATATATTTCATGTACAGAATTGATCTCTCTACAGATTTATTATAAGTATAGATATAGATAAATTAATACTTGAGCGTGATTCCATAACACGATCCTTAGTTTATTTACACGCCTAGGTCATTCAATCTAGTCTGCTTACGTAGTTTCTAAATCCAATTAGGACTAAGCATTGTCTGACACGTGTGTAACGAAACCACATCAAAAGAACAAGGAACTTTCAAGAGAAAGTCCCCATCGAATACTGTAGAGGAAGTGCATACATTATAATATAATTTTGGCGACGATGCCCCTGCGCATACGAAATCATAACAACCAATAACACGTGTGATAGAGACGGCGATAACATTTTCTCGGTGATTTGTGTTTCCATCCCGCTTTTCGGTGTGGTCTGTTTTTTCCGGTCAAGTACAGTTAAGTTCGTTGACAGTTAGATACTTTTATGTAACAGGTGATTTGCATTTTGTTGCACAAAAGGTTTGTATACCAACTTCAGCGTTTCATAGGTAAATGGGATTTGTTTTATTTGAAAATTCAAATGAAAATCTATTCTATATCGATCAAGGCTCATGAAAGTAAAAAAAACATTTTGTATCGAAGTTATTTATTATTATATTGAGTTTAATACTGCATTAGGTACTTAATATTTCTCCAACATTCATTAATTGCTAGTGATCGTTAAAATGCAATAATTCTCTCAATTTTATTGGTACAAGTCTTAAAATCTGCCAATCGAAAATTAAATTCATGTATACGTCAAACATTCCAAAACCGAAATTTATATGGATACAAGGAAAGGATGGTATTAATAATTTACAAGCGTCATATTTAATATCATACTTAACTAATATTAGCATACAGCGAATAGTTGCACCCTTGACACTATTCGCAATAGTAACGTACAGTAAACCTCAGTCTGTCATATTTTGAACCCTATTGCTGTAGGTATAGAGCTAAATTGTGCAGGGTATTTGCACCTGCTGTATAAATGTCGCATAACGCGTCCACAAATTGGATTATCCTGTGCACAGGCATTTGTAGAAAAATCTAGACAGAAACTCAGTCACATGTTGCTGTGAATACCTTTTATCGTGATTTGAGAACTTGTATTGATCACCGACCTTAGTTTGTCTAAAAGATAAGACTTTTTTTAGGCAGAACAAGGAACCTATTTGACTGCAATTGCTGCAGTCTAGGATGGTAGTACGTGCCTGATGGGCCCTGTAAGTAAGTGCATATTCACTCTCGTCTTGCAGGCAGCATATTCCAGTCCCTAGCTGTTCGTGTTACTTACCTACTTGAAATGATTTAGAAAAACTACATTTTGAATGTGTGTACTGTGTAGTGTAATATGTAGGTCAATGTTCAATCCGATATAGATTTGTTTATTTACACTTCGTACTTTTCTGTAATCCCGGAATCTGTTTGTTTATTTACAATATTGGCCGACCTTGATAGTTTATATCGTTTTTTTCTGAGAAACAGTATCATTACTAATGATTAATGTGGTTATTAATTTTATTTTTATGTTTATAATTTGTAGGTATAGTTTTAAATTTATTATATGGCTTTTTTCCATTCACATTACTCGTATTTGATCAAACTAAATTATTATAAATATAAATTATAGTTAGATTTTTTACTTATACGAGGTCAAATAAGACAATAAAGGGTATTTCGCCAAAAATGGTCAATTTTGCCTAATTTCCTTGGTACGAAATATTTTTTGTTTTTAACTATTTTTAGTTTCCCATTGCATTAAGTAGCAAAAACTAAGCTAATATATCTAAAAGGGGTGTTATAATTCGTTTTAGAAACAAAGTTATAAGGTCATGAATTTTTGGTAGCCAAGGAAATTATTATAAATATTTTTTTCTCTTTATTTTTCTTCTGTGGTTTTCTTTTTTTTGGTTCGACCTATTTTGTGTACCTTCGCAAACAAACATACCAATGAATATTGAATGATAACACATCGTAACACAACTAAGAAAGATAAATGCAGTAGATTGAGTTAAGAGTTAAAAACAAGTTGTTCTATATCTTTTCTGATACCATTTCTTAAAATGTAAATTTTAAACTTATTCCAATAAAGAAATATTCAAAATTTGACTTTACGCCGAATTAAAAATGGTATTTTATAATTTCCTAGGCCATTTTATGCCACGGAAAACAAGGAAATTAGGGCCAAAGAAATTAGATTTATGCCTAAAAGACACCACAGACAAAAACCTATTTACCCTATGCATTTACTATTTAAATCATGGGTTTACCCCTACAGACACTACATCTGTGTAAATAAACAATAAAATTAATCCATTGTTTAGCTGCAAAAAACCGTCCAAAGAAATTGACTTTTTAGTAAACAAAAACCCAAGGAGGGACCTACTTAAGCGATTTATCGCGAAACTGATCAACGAAGTACTGTCCTGCCTCGATGGCCTCTTGGGACGAAATGGCCGAGTGTAACGGTGCAGTGCATTACATTCTAAGTTCTTTCGTTTTGTTACTACAATGGTCGAAAAGAAGACCCAGGGAAATTATACTTTTGACTCGGACAAGAACTTAACTTCACTTTATTTCCTGCCTTTAAGTATTTTACATTTAAAGTTTTTATTTTCCGATAGCCAAACGTTTCTCAAATATAAAGAGAGTGCTATTAGAATGAAATTACGCTTCAATTTGTTATAATGTGCCTTCATTTTGGCAAACAACAGTAATGGACATAACAAGGAAATTAGAAAAACGACTTTTGATTAAGTTTTTCTACGGTATTATTTGTAGTTTCTGCTATTGTAATAGCAAAAACAAATAAAACTTTTGATAAACTTTCCCATAAAAATAGTTTTATACATATAGATATAAAAAAACATGTGTTCGCCTGCCTGGACACAGAAAATTTACTGTTTCGGCGAAATACCCTAAATCATCATGAGCCTAGAGCAGTCCACTGCTGAAACAATGTCTCCAGCTTAATTCAGTTAGGTGTCAAAGTTTGATGAATAATTGAAACATAACCTTTGCCATCCATGGAGCATTTCGCTCCACTTTTGCATGTAGTCTGTGTTGCCATATCATCAAAAACATCAGCCGGGAAAAGTTTCCATTCATGATCTAACCAGCGGATCTATGAAATGCGCGGTCGCACGCCTCTGATGTAAGCGCACGCGTGGGCCGACAATTGACCACCTGACCCGACTCTTGACTCTTACGAAAGAATTGCCCTTCATTAAAAGAATCTGAACCAATTTTTGCTGTAGCATCTTTGACAATTAGCCTCGTCCTTAGAGTATTGATTTATTTGACTCTCGTGATTCGATTGACCTACAGTCGTTTGACAAAAGTATTTTTAGTTGGTCGATTACTCGTTAAACAACAGCCTAGGTCGTTTCACTGTCACTGACAAGTTGTAAACAAAGTTTTTTGTTCACTGTTTGTAAACCCTACACGGAAACATCTAGTTTAAACATTCGTGATCAATATGACGGCATTTGAAAACAATGTGTGGACGTAAAGGACATTATCATTAAATCTATAAAACTAGAAAATGATGTCATTGCAATTTTGCGTCCTACGTAGATGAGTTTCAAACTAGTTGCCTTATTTACTAGGTTTTATATCGTTCTCGACTAACAATGCGTAAAATGTACCAATATAATGTTAATTTTACGCTACACACGTTTTAAAGTAGGTAATCATATAAATAAAATATAACTCGTTACTAACTTGCGATAAATAAATAAAATACAACGAGTGTGTTGATGTTTTTAATTTAGGTTAGGGTTGTCATTAGACTTAATCAAAAAGTTTTGAAAGACTAATTTCACATGTTTGTACAGATCCTTAATTGATCAGTCATTAGAAATAGGAAATTATGAAATGTTTTTACTGTGTAGGAATTAGTAAAGATATAGCAAAAGAAAATATCTATTATCTTTTTTATAATCTTATAGTAGGTATGATTACT